AAAAGAAGCAAGAAGGACACCGACGACCTAGAACGAGCCAACAAGATCGGAAAGCAGACCCTTAAGGTTAAGAAACCAGAAAGCGAAAGAGCCAGACAGGAGGAAGAACCCTGGCAAGAGGAGGAAGAACCCTGGCAAGAGGAGGAAGTCAGCCTCATTCGCATGAACTTGGCGTGGCAAGTCGAATTATTGGAGCGACAACTCCGGAACACACGCAGCGCACAGTCCGGCAACACATGGAGCAGGTGGAGATCGTTGACTGGCCGAACATGGGGCAGGTGGAGGAGCAACTGATGCAATTGAAACGGCAACTAACGGAACTATGATAACGGATGCGTGGTATGGTCCTTCCCTCTGGCGTCAACGATTCTGATGAAAAAGAAGTAAATCGGTTGTTTAGACGCATACTTTTTAAATATGATTGCCGAATTTTCCGCCTCCTTATGGTCCAAGACCGAAGACGTCGAGCGGTATCCTTTTCACATGTCTTTTTCACGTGCCCTTATTATCGCATGACACCTCTGAGGCTCTGAAGATCTTTTCGCGTTGGTGAAGAACGCTCAAGAAAATGATGGGATGCAATCTGAAGTTATTTTTACAAATAACATTTAAAATAATAAAGTAGAAATTGAATTATTTGGAGACAACTGCGGAACAGCCTTGTCTGGAAGGTAAATATAATAAATGAGATTATTTTCGTCACCTTTTTTTTCTCTAAAGAAAAATTTCATTCCACGTCAGATCGACCAGAGGTTTTGGTCGACCATCAGCGATTTGGATGAAATTTGGTGAGGAGGTAGCGTTTGGTCCAAAAGCGGGAAGTCCAAACGATATTTTTTTTCAGACCAAAGGTATTTCCGTAGCGAGGTCACAAATTGTTGACCTTTTTAGCTGGTCACGGTGACCTCTGTCAGACTTTCTTCAATAACTCCTCAGCTATTTGTCAAAGAATCTTCAGTTAGGACTCTTTTTAAAAGTATTTTTCATTTTCATCATATTTTGCATTTCATTTCAAGCTCATATTCATTTATGCTCATTTTATATGAAAAATCTAATTTTTTCGCTTTTGACCCTTCCTAAAAAAAATATATAATATTCGATTTTGAGCTTTCTGAAATTAATGCAGCCAAAATCGGAAAAGGTAAAGTACACTTTTACACATATTTCGATACTGGGGCAAAACATCCTCCTGAAATTTCATGAGCTTCATTACCATATTATTCTCGTGTTATTTTGTAAATTTGGCGAAATTTAAACATTTTGTATTTTTTATAGGAAGGGTCAAAGGTGAAACGCCTTCGGTTGTTCATATAAAATGAGCATGAATGAATATGAGCTTGAAATAAATGCACAATATAGAGCTGAAAGAGATCTTTAAAAGGAGTCCTAAATGAACATTCTATGACAAATAACAAAGGAGTTATTGAAGAAAGTCTGATAGAGGTCAGCGCGACCAGCTGAAAAAGGAATTTGTGACCTCGCTACGAAAACACCTTTGATCAGAAAAATAAAAATATCGTTTGGATTTCCCGCTTTTGAGCCAAACGCTACCTCCTCACCAAATTTTGGCAAAATCGCCAAAATCCATAGTCGATCAGACGTGAGTCGATCCATAAACAAGATTCCTCAGAAAGCCCCACTTTCCGAAAGGATTTATTTGCTATAAATCTCACACTGAAAATATGAATCGAGTTAATTCACGATCTTAGTGAACATATTTGTGTTACTTGCCAATTTATTTTCAGCTTTTTTTTTCAACTCACAAGCCAATTGCCTCAATAGAAGAAAACGAATTCAGCATTTTTCCTTGACCTTTTCATTCCCAAATGTTCGAACCACCGATTTCCAGAACTTTCCAGGCCTGGGATAGGAATAACGGATTGAATAACGGATGAATACCGGCTGTATTGAAGGAACTAAAAAAATTTGCAAATTTGATGCATTGTTTCCCTAAATTTCTACTTTGGCTATATTTCCGATTTTTTTTTACAATATAAAATATATTTAACTCATATTGATATTTTTTAGTGTTTATATTTTGTATCTAACATGCGGAAATAAAAAAATGAAATTTGGAGAAACATGCATCAGAAAGAAATGATTAAATTAATGTCGGAGCCAATGATGTTGCAGGATTTAATTTAACATTTCATTTTCAATTGCATTACATTTAGAAATTATATAAAGCATGCCCGTGGTTCCTGCACCCGCGAAAAAAAAGCCTGAAAATCTTCCCTCCGAGTAAAAGGCAGCACTGGCATGAAAGGGTCGAGCAAAACCGACCCCTACGAACGCCGGCCCGGAACGGACTCAACACAGGTCAAATTCGCAAAAAGGCACCTTACAAAACCTAAAAGCATCCTTATCACAAGAATCACGGAATCCCCCCAATCAGGACCTTCTTCTCCACCTCGAACGGCGCCTGCTTCGACCTCCCGTCTCGACACCCCTCGAACGGCGCCTGTTTCGACCTCCCTTCCCGGCTCCCCTCGAACGGCGCCTGCAGCGTCTGCACGAGGGGGATGCAGAAGAGCATGAGCCCGCTGAAGGCGATCACCGTCCCGGCCACGTAGAAGCCCGAGTCGTAAGATCCCAGGCTGTCGTACAGCCAACCTGCCCCAAACAGCCTCTTTTTCATATAATGTTTTATATGTCGGCTCATACTTTAATACAAACATTTAAATACCGAATGAAATTGCATTCATTAATGTAAATATAAACGAGAACTTGACCATGAATACAATGACATCGAATTTGAAATTTGGAACTACGATAGCGATATTTTCCCATTATAGTGGTAGCATTTTTTGGGCCACCATGTACTCTCATTCGAAGCCCCATCCGACTCCCTCACCGGCGATGGGAGGCCCGATGAGCGAGGCGATCCCGTTGAAGAGCAGCACCAGCCCGAACGCGTTCGTCAGGGCCTCGATCCCCAGCAGGTCCACCAGGATCACCGAGGTCAGCCCCACGTACGCTCCCGAGGTGCACCCGAACACCGAGGTGGTCAGGACCAGCACCCCGTACGAGGTTCCCCAGGTCGTTAGCGCCGTGCCTGCGAAAGGTAACATGCCGAGCTTCCGAAGGTTTCCTTTCCTTTCACTTCATTTGTGCTTCAATCCCCATTAATCCTTTTCATGAATTCCCAAATGATTCCCATAAATGAATTCCCAAAGTGAATTCCCCAAATGAATTCCCAAAGTGAATTCCCCAAATGAATTCCCCAAATGAATTCCCAAAGTGAATTCCCCAAATGAATTCCCAAAGTGAATTCCCCAAATGAATTCCCAAAGTGAATTCCCCAAATGAATTCCCAAAGTGAATTCCCCAAATGAATTCCCAAAGTGAATTCCCCAAATGAATTCCCCAAACGAATCCCCATAGCCCGTCATGAAATCCAAGCTAGCGGAACAGGCAGAAATCGCAGATGGGAAGTGGCCCTGGGACAATCCTCAACGCCTCCCTTTATCCGCCTTCGAGCGGTTTCACCATTTCCCCCTCGATTCTAATCTATCTGGATTCATGCTTAAATGAGGCTTATCTTGGAATTCCCCTAGCCTCTATATATTTTCAATAGTTGGCAAAATATTGAGTTGGCTTATCACTTAATATTTAGTTCTTTTAAGTTTCAATATCTCGTCAGGTAACCAAGTTGCTCATTAAACCGAGCGATAGAGTGATCGTAAAATGATAAAAGTATCATTTAATTTAATAGCGAACTTGAAAATGGTTTTAGCACGAGAAACAAATTGTCATTTTTGATTTGAAAAATCGAAATTAAAATGTAAAAAAATTTCAATTGCATTTCCCAGAAGACGAGGGAATGGGAACTCACTTAGTCCGCAGACGATGAGAGCGACGTTGTACAGCCACAGCCTCCGCCTGCACACATTCACAACGACTGAATGACAGGGAATTCTTAACCGGAAATTCCTTTTAAAAAAAATTTTTTTTTACTGATTCTCATCGGTGAGTATTTTGAAAATGAGTTTTTTTTTTCTTCAAATCGCTCCATGACTATAAAGGAGTTATTCTTTCCGATAAATAACCAGACCGCTCAAATCTGGATGCAGTCATTGCAACTTGAGGAAAAATGAAATGAAAAATGAAATGAAATGAAAAATGAAATGAAATGAAATGAAAAACGACGCGGTGAAAGGAGATAAATCGACGGAATAAATCGAACCAATCGATTTGAATTTCGAGCGCTGATGTCTCATGCAGTTTGGAACTAATTTTTTTTTAGAGCTTCATGTGTTACATCCCACAGATTATTTTCACGGTGGTGTCGCATTTAATATTTTATTTTATATGATATATAATTCATAATATATAGGATTTTCGACACTCTTCAACCGGCGATCAGCTGCATGCACCCGATCGGGAGATTTCACTTCGGCCAACTCCAGAGCAGGCCTGGGCCCCGGCATTACATTTTAAAACCATTCAGAGAGTCAAACAAGAGAGCCTTTGGAGCACCTTAGGAGCACCCAGAGGCCCGGACCCACCTGAGGTTCTCGGTGTACAGCCAGCGGTGGTCGCAGAGGTAGCCGAACGTCACCCGCCCCAGCGTATTGGCGATCCCGATCACCGACAGGAGGAAACTGGAGTCCTCCGAGCTCACGCCTTTCTCCATCGCCAGGTCCTGTGGCAGGGTTGCCAGGGTTGAGCAGGGTTGCCAAATGGATCATTTTTAACTGGAGGCTCGCTTTTTCTTGCAGGGTTGCAAATTTTCATTTTTAGACATTTTACTGACCGAAATCAGTTAGTTTCACTTCCCGCCTACATACTGCTTTATTTAGTAAGGTAATAAATTAATCAACAATGTTTAATATTGTAATTAATTGTAAAATGTAACAAGTAATTATTTAAAGAATTGATTGAACCTTTGTTTAGGATAACCATGATGCTAAAATTAGCGCAGAAAATGCTCTCATGCCTTGACGTAGACGTATGGAATGATGAACCCGACGCTGGTGAGGAAGTTGGAGGCGACGAAGAGGAGGAAGACCAGGTTCTTCAGCAGCCTCAAGTCCATCATGGCCTTGAGGATCTTGGACGCCACCTTTCGCTTCGCCTTCCGCTCCTCCTCGGACGACCTGAGCGAGCATCGAGCAATCCTCAACATGTATACGGTAATGGTGTGCCCTTCTCCCTCCTCCTCCCTCCTCCCTCTTCCCTCCCTCCTCCTCCCTCCTCCCTCCTCGCTCCTACAGGCCGTCAGACCCTCTACCCTTATGGCCCATCTAGAACAGCTGCATAAACGCACCCAGCAGTATTCAAAGTGCAACCTGTGGGCCACAAGCAATCCAATTGCTGTTTCCAGAAGGCCCTTCACGACATTCTATTAATTGAATTTCGCTCATTTAATTTTCAGAAATGCTGGATTTCTTTTTAATGCGTCCCACTCCAGGTTGACCAAAGCATTCAAGTGGCCCACGCTCTGATAAGTTTAGGGTCCAATATGCAGCCCGATTTGCTGGAAATGGAACTTTTTTTTTTCGCAGGCTAAGATTTATCTTAGAGGGTGAATATCCCGCGAATGCTACCCTCTCCTCCATCCTCTTCCAGCCAATTGCTCGCCAATTTTCATTTATTTCCAGTTTTTCCGTTATCTCTCAGTGGGAAATGTATGTAATTCTACGCCTGATGAAAATCCATAAATCGCAATCAGAAGCAGACCAAATATATTGGCACTGTATTACTTAATTACCTAATTAATTAATAGCGGTCACGACTCACCCCATGCAATCCGGATTCCGGAGGCCAGCCGGCCGTTCGCAGTAGCGCCGCTCGGTCTCCATCCGCCGGTCTTCTTCCTTACTTTCCTCCTTACAATCTTCCTTACTGCCTCCCATTTCGCTCTTCTCCGTTTCGAGGAAACGGTAATCGTCCGAGTGGGAAAATCTAATTTGGAAAGTAATTTATTCAGGTCCAGAAGGTAATTCGAAGGTAACCTGCTACAGGGGAAATGGGCCATTACGTCGTCTTTTTTTGCCAATGTAAAAAATTGGCACCGCTCTTATTTGCAAAAATTTGCAACGTGACTAAATTCGAACTGACTGGAAGCTATGTAGCTAATAAATTTGCTACACATTGTTTGAAATGTCTTAATGTTTTTTTTAATTGAAAACAGAAGTCGCTGAAAGTGACGAAATTTACAAGAGCAAAAATGCCAAAAAAAATTGCAACATCTCTCATTGCGGCGTGGTGAAATTTCATACATGGAAAAAAAGATTGGAAACGACTTTCGTGCGATGAACTTTTATATGCGCACTCGCAGGCTCTGACATTCTCCGATTCGACGATGAAGGGGGAGAAGCTGAATTTGCGCGAAGACGACATGAGGCAATAGGGAAAAAAATATTTGGGCAGCGTTGCATCCAAGATCCATCGGGGACTTCATGAATTCTTCATGAAAACTTGAGCGAAAGGCCTCACGAAGACCCCAACCACCTACTGCTTTCCCACGCGATGTCAAAAATAGCGAGTACGTGGGCGTGCAAACTCAGGTTCCATAGGCACAGAGGCCATGTACTTTGCACAACTACATCAGATATGTGCTATGCTTGGGTACATCAGATATGTGCAATGCTTGGGTACATCAGATATGTGCTATGCTTGGGTACATGAGATATATGCTATGCCCCGAGTACAGTCATTGTAACCGCTTATGTTGGGACGTCGCCCCATCCCAGTCGAACGGGCATACCCAGACACACTTCCTCAATCGACATCGATCGCACGGAGTAAAATCAGTTATTTGGGATCTGAAAGACCAATTTACATGTAAATTTTTGAAAACCTCCTGCACGTGTTGAATGTGACATCGTATAGTTTTCTTTTCGAAGCAGCATGGTATTCTGCGCGCAAGCAAGTGAAGTTGAGAATTTTGTTGGGTCACCTATTAATTTTTGGTCACCTATTAATTTTTGGCCACATTAATTTTTGGCCACATTAATTTTTGGCCACCTATTAATTTTGGGCCATCTATTAATTTTGGGTCGCCTATTAGTTTTTGGTCACCTATTAATTTTGGGTCTCCTATTAACAATGAGCCAATTATCAAATTTCAGCCAAAAATTAATTTTGGATCACCTATTAATGTTTAACAAGAGTATCCAAAATTGAAGTGAAAATCTCCTTGAGGCTCTGAAACAAATATCAATCGGTGACACTACCACCGATGAAGGCATCTCCTTTACCTTCTCTCGCACAGATGGACGAGGCTGCCGCAGTAGAAGACGTCGGGTCGCTGCGCGAAGATCCCCGACCCGAGCGGCCGCGAATGCCGCGACTGCCGCGAGAGGCACCCCATCGGCACCCCGGGAAGCGGCGGGTTCTCGCTCACCGTCCGCTTCCGGCGCTTCTCGAAGGGGAACTCGCCATTGGCGCCCGACAGGCTCCTGCCGCATTCCGGTGCCCCAGAATTCCTGTTTCATGCAATTGGCAATTGTAAAAAAAAGAAAAGAAATCGACAGGCGCAGAGTTGCACTCAGCAAAAAAATATGTGTAGGAAAAATTTCACAACTTCATTTCTTGGAAGGCTTTCGGCCAAATCCACTGAATGACCGATAGGGGGAAAAAAAAAATCACAGGAAAATAAATAAATAAATTACTGGCCACTTTCTCCCGACTTTTATCCCACAGACCTACAGGTATTAAGGCAGTTGGAATCATTATTATCATCAGGTTATTATCATCAGGTTATTATCATCAGGTTATTATCATCAGGTTATTATCATCAGGTTATTATCATCAGGTTATTATCATCAGGTTATTATCATCAGGTTATTATCATCAGGTTATTATCATTCGGTTATTATCAGCCGTTATTCGTTAGCGACTCCACGTTGTGATCCCGGCGTCCTTTCCATCCGGTCATGCTCTGGAAAAATTCTCAACCTGAGTTCTCCTTCCACAACAAAAGGTTCTGAGATGAGAACGGATGAGATGAGAACGGATGCGATGAGAACGGATGCGATAAATAGGATCTATTCTCTTTTCCATCTCCGCTCGCGGTCGCCTTTCCGTTCAATCCGCGAAAAAGGGTTATCCGTTTTAGAGAGAGTAAGGGATGCGGAACGAATGACGTCACTGATGATGTCACTGATGACGTCACCAGGAGTTTCAGACTCGCTTCAGAAGAAAGTCTCCTCGCCGAGAGGCAAAGGGCGAAGTTTCCCTTTTTTGGCTCCCAGCATGAAATATTTATCTCCTCGACGGTCATGAACATGCAAGGCTTCCTTTTTATATTCCAAGAAAAGCTTCACCTTCTGTCGAGGAGACGACGAAGCCCCCAGGAGTCGTCGGGTCGACTCGGGACGACCCCCGACCCGAGTCGCAGGTCCTCCTCGGAGTCGGCCCGGCACCCGCTCCGAACCGCCCCGTTCACCTGCGGCGTGCTCCCGGTCTGCAAACTTTTATGGCAAAAATATTTTTTTGCAACCTTCAGTGTCAATGGCATGAGAAGAGACTGTCAATTTAAAATTGCATAAATTATGCAAAATTCAATTGGGTATTCATGAAAAGGTTGAGCTAGCCCCACCCCCTCTCGTAGACGTATACGAGGCAGTCTCTATAGAGGGAGCTGGGTCTCTCCGAGATGGCCTTCCCGTGGGAAGAGTCTTCCTCTGAGTTCATCGCGATCCTGGACCTGAGCTGATCGCGTGCATTAGAGGGCGTGTCGATGAGCTGTTCCCGCGCTTGAGTAGGCGTCTCGATAAGCTGTTCCCGTGCATTAGAGGGCGTGACGATGAGCTGTTCCCGTGCATTAGAGGGCGTCTCGATGAGCTGTTCCCGTGCATTAGAGGGTGTGTCGATGAGGTGTTCCCAAGGAAATAGCGATGTGTCGATGAGCTGTTCCTGTGGTTTTGGCGACGTTTCGATGAGCTGTTCCCGAGGGGCGTTTGCCTTCGACGTCGTGCTCGTTCCTTCTTGAGGGTTCGCAGTCGTGTCTGTCGCAAAAAATAAAGACAAGGACCTTCACTGCCAGTTCTTTACATTCTCGTGAAAATCAGTAAATTTCTGAAAATATTCAGGATGACTCAGCCTCCCCCCCCTTGCCCCTTCTTTGACCACTTGCCTCTCTGCTCCTTCAAGGAGAATGAGTCTATTCCGTCTTTGCCATATTCTGCATAAATACAAGAGTGACGCTGATCCCTCATATGCCCAATTAAAAGTTTTTAAAAAAAGAGATTTCATCGCTAAAAATCAGAGCACCGATTCAGCGAAGGACACCGTGTCCACGCCCGCCATAGAGGGCGAGGACTCCCTCGTCCTCGAAAGGCATATCCTCCAATAAGCGGATTCCCCGAGCTATCGGATCCTCCCGCAGAAGAAAAGAAGAATCTCAATCTTGGAGGGATGTCACCTGCCAATCGGGAGTGGGGAGGGATGTCACCCGCTAGTCGCGAATGGGGAGGGATGTCACCTGCTGCGCCGCGATGCCAACCGCCGTCGCTGCATCCTCGCTCCGCTGTCGCATCTGCCGCTGGCTTCTCTCTTTGCTCTCGTCGTGACGCTATCGGCTCCTGCGTTTCCCTATTGTGCAAATTGCAATCGAGATTTGACGCGAACTGCAATTACTTGAAATTTGTTTCAGTTATGGAAAAATCGCACGGATAAGGCGAAAATTGAACATGGAGATGATATCGCTCGAAAGATAAAGAAACATATAACATTTAAGAACGTTTACGTAATAAATTACTTGACAATTAATATTTAAAAAAAAACAGTAAAATATTCACAAAATTATTGATATTTAAATATTATAGCCGAATACTAATTTTTATTCATAGATAAATTTAATTCAATTGAATTTGCCAATACCTTCTCATTTTTAGAATATCGGGTTTTAATTTTAGTGTTCAGTTACATATTCAGGCATGCATTATTACGCTAGAAAGGCAAGAATTACCCACCTGAACAAGGCCCCGAAGGTGACACACTGGAAGACGATGGCCGAGACGATGAGCAGCGCCCCCTTCCACCCGTACGCCCCGACCATGTGTTCGATGAGGGGCGCCAGCGCGAACGTCCCCAGTCCGGACCCGCAGACGGCGATCCCGGTCGCGAACGCCCGCCGGCGTCGGAAGTGGCACGTCACGCTCACAATCGCCGGCAGGTACATCATCCCGAACCCCAAACCTTCGCAAACCGGTCCATCAATCCATTAATCAATTAATCCTTTCTCTATCCATCAATCCATTAATCAATTAATCCTTTCTCTATCCATCAATCCATTAATCAATTAATCCTTTCTCTATCCATCAATCCATTAATCAATTAATCCTTTCAATCCATACACCCATCAATCCATACACCCATCAATCCATACACCCATCAATCCATACACCCATCAATCCATACACCCATCAATCCATACACCCATCAATCCATCTACCATCCATTCAATTCAAATGAAGCTGCTCGAATCCTTGCCCCCATGAAAAGATTATCATGCAACGATCGAGCCCGAATGAATCCGCCCCAGATACCGCATCGACTCCCTCCCTCAACCACAAAGGAACTGACAAACCGTCTCAAGACATCAAATAGGTCAACCATCGAACGCGAATGGAGTCCCCGACGAGGTCTTTCTAGGCCAGACATCGATTCCCTTTGCACCTATGCAGCAAATGAGGATCCACGGAGCGAACGAGGATGAATGGGCCAAATGAGGATCCATCCCGCGATGATGATTCCCCGGGTCCTCCTGAGGCGAGGGGTTCGTGCCACGATTCAGTGCTGCCAGATGAACGATCTTCAGTCGGCCGAGATTCGAGATCGTTACGTGGGATCTGTTGTCCTCCGCCCCCCTTTTATTTTGCTTATGAGGTTTCGTCGCCCTCATTATCGGCGTCATTGACCACTTATCGGCGTCATTGACCACTTATCGGCGTCATTGACCACTTATCATCAGGATGAATACCTACCCTTGCGTGTAATGGGATTGAACGGAAAATTCGACAACCGTAATTTTGAGGGAAATCTCTTCCCGATCTTTCACTTTCCGCGACGAAGGTTCCCCTCTAACCAGTCATTATCGAAGTCGCAAGTGAGGATGAACGTCCATTCGTCCATTCGGATGGAAGAAACGAGATTCTTCAGCAAGGGGACGAGATTCTTCAGCGTGTTGAGTCTGGGTTATGGACGGGGGAGGATTTTGTTGCCAATTCAAGAAATAATTGACACCATGGATTTCTCTAATTAGTTCATCTGTCATCATTCATTAGTTCATCAGAATTTCGTTTGTTCACAGGTCGACTAGGAATGGCCGAGACCTGGACTCGACGAATTCGACGCTTTCTGCCGCTATTTATTTGCAAGATGTTTGAAGCTTCGGTTTGCTGATATTGAGAGAAAAAAATTTTTCTCGCTATTTTCGCTATTTTTTGCTATTTTCGGCCGCTTCGACAGGATTATCGACGAGATACTCAGTATGGCACTTTCCTCTAAAAAAATTATTTTTAAATGGCAAATTATTTCAATAATGAGTTACAAAAACTCATTAAATAACTCTTTCAAAATCGATCATTTGAAAAAAAAATCAGGAAATTTGTAAATTCAGGATATACACTAATCAGGAAATGTATGAAGTCTGGAAATTCGCAAATTCAGGAAATGCAAAAATTCAGGAAATTCGAAGGAGATGCATCGCCCCCATGCACATCGAAAAGCGCCCATCGTTAAGTGAGTCCAATCAGTCCAACTAGTCGAATCAGCCCCAATCAGCCCCCCCATACCCATCAGCTCACCTGCCCCCACCCCGATGGTGAGATAGAGCGTGGCCACGTTGGGCGCGAGGACGCTCACGGCCAGGCTGGCGAAGGCGAGGACGGCCCCTCCCATGCACACCAGCCGGCACCCGTACTTGTTCGTCAGGCTGCTTGCGATCGGACCTGGTGGCACGGTTTTCCATCTTATATATCTTTATAACATACTCACCTTAATTTCTATTTATATTTTAACTACTAATTTTAATTTATTCTTCTTTAATTCTAATGTTAATTTATTCTTCTTTGATTATAATTTGAATTTATTCTTCTTTAATTCTAATTTTAATTTATTTTCTTTAATTCTAGTTTTAATGTTTCTAATTCTAATTTCAAATTTATTTATTTTATTTATTTATTTCCCTTTTAAATTTCTATGCCTACTTTTTTTCATCTGAGCTTCACAGATTCCTTCGATTCCAAGATTCACAGAATCATTTTTGTCGAATTATCGTATGCCGATTGGCATATTGCTACATTCGAGTGAGTGCATCATAATTAAATGAATTATTTGAAAATTGATAACTCTATATGGGCTGACAAATAAAATATCTCTACGACGGCCAACCGATATTCAGAACAGTACTTAAAATCAAACTAGATTGCTGAGAATAAAAATTCTGCATTCTCCATGAAGCCAATGAGACTTAAATTTCGAATATAAATTATTTAAGTTTTTTATTATCAGTGATAAAGGGCGTACCAGAACCGAGAGTGACCCCGACGAGTATGGAGGCGATCCATGACGTCGCCCCCTTCCCGTCTTGGTAGAAGTTGAGGAACTCCACGTAGAAGATCCCGAACGTGTAAGTCACTCCATCCGCTGACGAAGGGAAAGCATGCTTAAGACAAGAATAATGCAAGCATCGGAGAAGCATGAGACAAGCTTAAGACAAGCATAATATTTAATACAATCGGTGATGCGGATAAATACTCATTCTCGACGTATCGAAATATATCCTTCCAACAAAAAAATAAAGCGGATCGGAAATCCCGAGCCCCACGCGATTCGGGATGACCTTAAGCCAAGTGAAGACTTGGGGCTCGGGATCAGGACGGGCGAACGCTTCAACTGTTCCTTGCAAAGCTATGCTTAAAGCTATGCTTAAAACTATGCTTAAAGCTATGCTTAGATTTGCCCTTAAGAACGAGGAAACGAGAAACGGTTCAATGGCCTTCAATCTAGGTTCGGTTCACATTTCACTTAGGCTCATAACCCTTCATCAATACTTCAGTTCGGCTCATAACGCTTCAGTCCTTGAACAATCAGAATTAATTTATGTTTTCGCTTTCTCATGCATTTGGCACTGAAAGTCTGAAGTCCCGGGAAAACAGTGGAGAATGTGTGGGTGGCATGAGAGGCCTCCCACACGCTGCCATGCCTCCATGTCCTTGACCTTTGCCCTGACGACTCAGAGACAAGTGCAATTCCTGCATTTTCAGAATCGAAATTGCATGATGAAAGTGTTAGGCGAATTATTCCATGCATTGAAATGAGTCAATAGAGGCACAATTTTCATGAAATTAATTCTCCTCTCATGCGTAAAACTCCTGTTCCGGATTCATCCTTCCGAATTCCGGATTCATCGTTCCGCATTCCGGATTTATCGTTCCGAATTCCGGATTCCTATTCTATTCTTAATCCAGAGGACAGCCACTTAGGAAAAAAAAAGAAAAATCCAATCGCATCCGATTTTCCAAGTTATTCGAGATACAGAAAGGCGAAAAGGACCTTCCATAGCTAAGGACATTCCCGAGCAACAATCCCGGAAGGGTCCCGACGGACCAATACATCTCAAGGGCAAAGGACACTCCCTCACTCAGCCCACACTTCTTTCATGCATGCGGCGACTGCAGGCAATCACACCGAAAAGTCATTTCCTGCTGTCATGCCGAAATTTTCATTTCCTGCTGTCATGCCGAAATTTTCATTTCCTGCTGTCATGCCGAAATTTTCCTTTTGGCGGTCATGTGGAAATTCCCTTCCCCATGGAAAATTTTTCCGCCGATCAATATTTTTTGCAGCATGCCTCATGCACGCCCTCCGGTCAACATCTGAGGGCTAGATGTTGATGATGGTAGTGATGGCAATGATGCTGATGATGGTAATGATGGCAATGATGCTGATGATGATGATGATGGCAATGATGGCAATAATGCTGATGATGTGATGATGGAATGATGGCAATGATGCTGCAGATGATGTTGAATTAACGATTCGCCTACAAACTAACAATAGAATGTAGCTTTGGCGATTTAACACGCTTAATGAATCCACACAGTTGACTCCTCGCTTCTTCAGTAAAATCTCACCTCTGCATCTTGAGTGAATGTAATTATTATTTTGTGAATGTAACTCTTATTCTGTGAATGTAACTCTTATTCCGTGAATGTTCTTCAGAACGACTGTTTCTTCCCGATGCATTTCCAGGTTTCACCTACCATTATGGAAATTTTCGTTGAAATTTTCAATTTTATTGCAAAGCCGAATTGCATCGTTAACACCCGCAGATGCCAAAAAGATGGATTCCGCCTCACCGATGAAGTGAATCATGAAGGAGGCGAGGACGACGACCCATCCCCAGCCGTCGTCCAGGTTCTTCTCCAGCTGGGGTTCCCATTTCTTCGTAGTTGCTCGGCTCGCTCGGGAGGTGCCTTCCTGTGTGCCTGGGGGGATTTCCTGCGAGGTGCTCCCCTGCGAGGTGCTCCCCTGCGTGGTGCTCCCCTGCGAGGTGCTCCCAAGCGAGGTGCTCCCCTTCTTTGCCTCCATCTCGTTCATTTCATCCTGGAAAAAATGTTCTCTTCTCCTGTAACGCCGGCCTCGCAAGTAAATATGAGGAGTTTTGCGTGCCGTCATATTGGAAATAATGATATCTATTCAATCAAAGGCAACATGTGCGTGACTGTCCGAAATTAGAGGGCTGCACGGGCCGAGTTACCGAGTCCGATCCAACCCGCTCGATTCATATCTTGGCTCGACCCAAAATCCGACTGGGCCTCATGGTCCGACGCGGTCCGTGACGGCGGGTCACGGCGGGTCACGGAGCCGGCCGGTCCGGGTCCCGTGCAGGGCTGTAGGCCCTGGGGGTCTCGTGCGTGGAAGCCGTGAATGTTTTTTGTCATATTTGTGAAATTAATTGATATAATAAAATTGTGCGCATATTTTCAAATTCGCGATCGTTATGAAGATTGAAAAATATGAGAATAAAAAATAGAATCGCAAGATGGACTTAAAACAAGGAAAATCAGGAATTCCTTCTTGAAATTTCAATCCCGACTTCCTGCTGAGTAACAGAAGCGTAACGGAAACGTAACGGACCAGCCCTTCCATTGTCGTTACGTGTGACGCTCGCTGCTTAAATCCAGTTGTGAGAAGACGGGTGAGACAAACGGGAATCGCCACCGGGAAAACCTGTGGCCTCATTTCGGAGCACATGCACATGTGCACGAGTGCACATGTGTAAACAGCCTCAAGAAGGTCATCGATCGCGCGTGCATGAATAGCAAACGCTCGGCTTGCTCGCTCGACCTGTTATAGGACGTAATGGTTAATAATTAACGTCGCGTGGCAATTAACCCTTTATGAATAAAGTTGTTTTCGGCGCGTATCAGATTTGATGCTGTTCTGCTTCGCCTCGCATCTAATAGATGCCATCGAAGAATCACATTACAAAATCGCATTACAAAAGGATATTAGGTAGGATCACAAACGACATTGCAAAAACGACATTCCATGCTTTTGTTCTGCGCAAATCAAAATTTCGCAATCAGAAGCAAACTCCATCGAAACTCATAGAAATTTGCGCAAAAGTTAAGAGAGATGATAGCGAATCGGGAGATTCGGACGGATTGATCGTCGAAGTGCCTTCCCGAAATTTGTTTCTGATTAATTTTGGTTCCAAGCAATTAATTGAAGCAAAACGAGTTTGATGAGTCGATTTTCATGTGATTAAATGAAAATTTCATCCGACATGATGAAAATTTTCATGCAGGCACGATTTTTGGCAAATTCCTTCAAATTCGGCAAATTGGCACTCTCTGGGGAGAAAAGTTCGAGAATTCGTTCAGAAATGGCAAAATTAAAATTTTTTTTGCGAAATTTTTGGCCTGAGATATTTTCAGGTTGAAATTTTTTTGTTTTAAGTTTTTGGTTTTTTATTTTGGTATTTATTTCAATCCGCTTTTCGCTCTGTGTTTTCCATTCCGTGGTTTCTCTCCATATTAAGAAAGGTAATTATAATTAATAATCAATGATGAAGTCCTCTTGATGCAGAATAACTGACATTAATTATTGAGCAAATTAATTATTTATTAAACATAGTTTTCCCATAAGCAAAAGCTCAGGAGAGAGAATTTTTAATCGATTACACAACCAATAAACCTTGAAGTCATTTTACCATTACTAGCATTAGTCATATTTGCGCACTATGGCTTATCCATTCATTCCACCTATATACATATATATATATAATATAGAAAATAGACGGCACGAGAAAAACAAATAATAAAGAGAGCAGAAATGCATCCCCCCCCTCCCCCTCCCCCTCCCCCAGGTCGGATCCGCCCAAGAGGAAAGGACGATGATGAAGGGCGACCTCCTCATCATCCTCCCTCTTCCCCCCTGATGAAAGCTTTCCTCCTTCCCCTCAATCGGGGCTTCCTGTCTCGTCGCTTAACGACTTCCATCGCGGGGTACCGCCGCGGCTGGGTACTGACTCGGTTTGACCTTGACCTTGGGCGAGGATGGAGAGAGTTCTGACGCGATTAGCATTTATTTGAGGCGCAGTTTAGAGCTGGAGCGCACTTCCGGTTCCGTGGTCGCCCGAGATGCAACATTTCAAGTTTAATTTAATTTAATTCAATGAATTAAAATGGGGGAAGTAAATTATTAAGAATAATAATAATATTTATTCCATAATATTATATGTAAACGGGACGTTCGTGAGAGGAGCGATTTGTGGACCTGTTAAGGAGTCGAGTCATACTCGGAATCTGCACGGCATTGCAGGTTAAATGTGAGGGACGTGGAGGTGACCGAGAGGAGCGCGGCCGTTTCGTGCGATCTCGTCGGGGAGGAGGCACGAGGTTCACTGAGGGTGTGGGGTTGGGTGGGGAAGGTGTCTTCCTAAGGAGGACAGAGGAGGAGGCAGTGCGCGGATGGTCACTTCCTTACTGGGTTGGAGGCATGAGGATCACTGGAGGAGGAAGGGGGCAGTGCATGGGACCAGTATCTTCCCTAGAAGTTCCCCCCGGCGCGGCGCAGTTGTTGTCGACTGGTTGACTGACCTTGTGGGGGGGGGGGGGGGGGGGGGGGGTTGCTTCGACGCAGTTGGAGTTAACTTGGCGCTGCTAAACGGATTCAACTCGCTCGTAATTGACATGCAGTGAGATGATTATGCAGTCTTAGTGCTGCTGACAGAAATAGGTCACAATAGGCGCTTTTTTTATTTAAGACATTTTGGTCGATTGACATCGATTTCGCAAAAATCTGTGTCAACGGAAACAGGTCGGTCTTTCTCAAGGTCGCTGCGTATTTTTCTTTTCATTTGTCCGACGTGAAAGAGGAAAAAAAGGGGGAGAGGAATGCCAATCTCCCATAGGACGGCACCGCCCTTTATTCCTGACCTTTACTTTTGCAAAGCGATATCCTTGTAATCTCTTGCGACTCGATCACTCTCGACTGGGAAGACGAGGCCTGAAACATTCAAAGCTCGGTGTATTACGTGCCGGGATTCTTTTCCCCCCCGGGACGACGGAGCAATCCCGAGAAACCCGGGAAACAAAAAACATCCCGATGAAAGGCAGGAATCCCCCCGAGATGAGACAGCCTCATCGGCTCTCGATGGATGTCTCCGCCTCGCTATCCCTGCCCCGCCGTCTCTCCTGCCTCCGTTTCCCCCCTGCTGGAATGCTTTCCCACGCTCGGGTGCCTTCCCCACTGGGGGATGTCTCCGCCTCGCTATCCCTGCCCGCCGTCTCTCCTGCCTCCGTTTCCCCCCTGCTGGGAAGTTTCTCCTTCTCTGATGTTTTCCCACACTGAAGTGCTATCCCTGCTGGGATGTTCTCCCCAAAGGGGATGTTTTCCCTGACCGTGAACCTCCTTCGCCCTGCACTCAGGGGAATGAGAGCAAGACGTGGTGTGCAGAAACAATGTCAACATTTACCAAGTTTCTGGACGTGCTTTTGCGAATTCATGGCCTCAGCCTTTCCTGGAGGTACCAGTTTTCCTGAAAGTACCAGTTTTCTTGGAAGTACCAGTAGGTACCTGCAAGTGTCAGGTTTCGACGACATGGTAATTACGAGCATTTCAGGCTGGGATTTCATAATAACTTTTCATAGTGACTTGCTTAATTTTTTCACAGGATCTAAACGTATCATAATTCTCTGACTAAGATTAATTAAGATAATTAAGAGCCGGTCTACTTTTCAGGCGATGAAAATCAACTGACTTCAAGTGAGATTTCCGCGCCGTGCTGAGTAATTCCCATCCTACGCCAATTTCTCTTGTTCACTGAGCGGGATTCGGCGTTTTTAGTCTCCAATTCGAGAAGAACCGCATGCGTATTTTCCAAACAAATATTTGACCTCCCTCGTCAAGCGAAATTTGCAAGAATCCGTGCGAATCGGCGCGACAATCAACGCAAAATGGCCAACTTACGGCCGACCGTCATAACGTTGCTTGACGCGCGTACCGTGAGACAACCCGCGCGCTGTCCTTCCCCTGGGTCCCGCGTCCCAAGCAGCTGGAACAAGTTTAAAGAAGATGAATTAAATTTCGAGTTAAAAGGCCGCTGATCCAGAATTGACATCCCCGCGGGCCCCACAGGACAAGAGGCTTTCCGAGCCGAGCCTCAACGGATCAACGTCTCACCTGAGATATCTCTTTCATCTGAGATATCTCTTTCGCCTGAGATCTCTCTTTCATCTGAGATCTCTCTTTCGCCTGAGATCTCTCTTTCATCTGAGAGGATCGCAGAAGGTTTTTTTTTTTCTTGCAAAAAGGATATCATGTTTTCCGTGATTCTCGATGGATCTGCGCTGACGACGGAGACATTATGAAAGTGACTTGGCCTTGGCCTTAACCACCTCACGAAATAAATCTACCCACGATCACTTGCGCTCATGAAAGATGGTCGCATTTCCGCATCACTCTGGAAGAGACCAGAGCGCGAGACATTGTCGCAGAATTCAAGTTCATCGGATTTATAATTAAAAAAATGAATTTCAGATTTTTCGATGAATTTCGATTATGCTCATTAAGGTGGATTTGCGAGCATTTAAGGCGGATTTGCGAGCAATTAAGGCGGATTTGCGAGCAATTAAGGCGGATTTGCGAGCGATTCTAGGGCAAGGCAATGAACTCAAGTTTGCGGATGAGTTCCGCGAATTCCGCGAGAATGTTGCAAGGCCGCAAAGTCAACGAACTCCCTTAATTAATTACTCCCTCTAATTCCCTTAATAGGCCCCCAAGGAAGCTCTAAGTTCATCCGGCGAATTAGGAAACAGCTTCTTCCTCATTTATTTCTCATTTACTTCTCATTTCCGAGTCGGAAGAGGAATTACCGAATTTCCTTCTGCAAGTCGCAGAAGAAAAAACAGGACGCTGTGTTCCTAATCAAGTAATGGTGTCCGCGACGGACCATGCATTGCGTCAGCGTGTGCGACGCTGCGGCGAGAGGGGAATCGAGGGAATTAACCGGCTAGAGACCTGCGCGGGTCGAGTTTTCAGAACTTGGTCCTATTAGAATCTTGGCCCGCACCCGACCTGAAAATCATGTTTTTATCGTTTAAACACGAAAATCTCATTACGAAGGACTGTCTGCCGATCATCTCCACGATTAATGAACTTGCTAATAAAACTGCAAACTGCAATTCACATCTTCTCAAGGATTCCCATGATCATGCTGAAGCGATTGGGGGACCTGGAATCCGATGACTCGCTTCAGCAGAATCAGCTAATTTAGCATTTTCATATTTTTCATAATTTAATTTTTTTATTTGTTCAGCAATTTCAGAACTTAAATATTAAAATTCAACCATTTCAATACTTTCAGCATATTCAGCATTTTCGACATTTTCGGTGGCCACTGTCGCTTGGACTTGGAAGCCCATGAGCGCAGAACCGCGCAGAATCCAACGCGCCGATTGGCCCTCTAAGGACAATTGCAATTAGGAATAAAATCACGATTTTATGGAAGTTATGAGTTAAAAAAAAAAAAAACAAGTGAAAGGGGATTGTTCCTTTGGAGACTCTTCGAAATCCAATCAGTCCTTGTATTTCGGGAGGGAGATAAACTTAAATGCAACTAAGCGTATACTGCAGTCTTTGCCGGGGAGATCTTGCAGCATGTGGGACAGGTGCGACGAAAATGCGACAAGAATGCGACGAAAATGCGACAAGAATGCGACGAAAATGCGACAAGAATGCGACGAAAATGCGACAAGAGTGCGACGAAAAATGCGAAAATATCTGACAATATGGTAGTCACTAAAGTCCATACGATTTTGATTATTATGCCGAAGGCAATGATGCCTGCAGGTGTGTGCAGGATGTCATGAGTACCGATATTCTAACCAGCGTCAGTACTTGTATGACGTCATCTGCAAGGATGAAGATGCGGGAGCTTGATTGCCAATTTGTTGGTGGAAATTGCGAAGGAAAAGGAAAAGCCGAGAATTTCCAGCCGGTCGTAAAAGGCAATCAGAAAGAGGCGATAAAATTGGATTTCGTGTCTCATTCATCGCCTTCCCCGCTGGATGTTCCCTGGCTTGGATGTTTCTTAACTTGGAGGTTTCTTGGTTTCTGCCGACCGAGGCTAATTGGTCAGGTCGTTGGTTGAAAATGGTATCTGCTCTATCAGTTGCACGACGCCGTCTCATTCCGATGAACTCATGAGACGGAATGAAGAGGATAACTCATGAGTTGCTCTCATGAGTTGCTCTCACTCCGGAGAAATTATTTTCGGTCGCTTGAAAAATTTCTAAACCGTCCAATCAGGGCAAGGATCGCGTTTGGCGCCTGGAAAATGCCGTGTGGTCTAACAATGCCTTGTAAATATCGGCGACGTCAGACATCCTAAGTTGACAGAAAATTCATAGCTATTGCCATTCAGTATATGCTGACAGGACAAAATGCAATTTATGAAATAATGCAATTAAAAAAATAAGAATAATATGTTTTGTCATTAAATATTTATCTCGAAATCAATACACTAAAATATGGAATATTATAATTACACAAATTCCACGAGGCAAATAACATCATTTTATTGATATAATTTTTTTCCGCAACCTATGCAAGAAAAGTGAGAATAATATAATTCAAGGAATTGTTGACTCCATCGACTCAATTCAGCAGAAATTTTCAAAAAATTTTCGCAAAATTCCACGCGATACAAATAAAAACGTCGACCAAGAACAAATGCCCAAGGACTCGACTCACCGACCGGTACTCGAGACTGCGGGAGGTCGGCGGGGAAGACTTCACTGGGACTGCAACCCGTTCCCCCGAGCCCGCGTTAAGAGGAGGGAGGAGGAGGAGGAGGGAGGCCCTCGCGAGGAACGCAGTTGATGCGCGAGGCATGACGCGCGATGCATGCGTTGATGTGGGATGTTAAGCCTTGCCGATGTTTTATCGCTTTCTTCACCCTGCCACGAGTTCCTGCCGTGCATGTGGTCGTACCGCGTGACATTTCCGGTTGAAGCCATCGCGCCTTTATTTGATGGATACTTGCTCGTCTTGATTTCCCTTGAGGAACGTTGCCTTTCCCGGTTTCTTTTTCTTTTTTTTTTCTTTTTCGGTGGCGCTGGCTTTTCTTGGTTTCAGTCAGAGACGAAATTGAATTTTTTAATTTTTTTAATTTTAATGGTTCGTTTCGTTTTCCGCACGCAATCACCTCAGCAATATTCATAATTGTTCCAAATGTATTGTGCATTTCTGAGCTGGTGGTCTGATGTGACAAATTTTTTAAAGAGACTAATTCGACTATCTTTCAAAATCTTACATGATGCAAGCAAAAATAGCTTTTCAGCAGTGAAGTGTGCAAGGCTTCAACGAAATTTCTTGTGCGAAACTCTAAAAACTGAGTCCATCGCGGAAGTGAGACGAACTGAAAAAAGTCCTGATCTCGAAAGCTCTTCTCTCTGCATATGATGATGTACCTATACCATGAAATATTTTGCCGTAATACCATGGAGTATTTTTCCATAGAAGCTGGTGATCGTTTGAGGTTGAATCCTCCGCATACACATTAATAATGGCGAATTTTTTTTTTACCTATTCCCAAATTTTTCTCGTTTGGGCATTCCACCGCTATGGAATGGCAAAATTCGTGTTGACCTGCCACAAATGAGTCTCATCGTCCCGTAGATCCTACCTTATAGCGCTGCAACTCTCTCAAGAGTCTTTAGGGAACTCAAAATCGACTCCCATCACCAACGCAAATCTGCGAAATCGTATACGTCAGAGGAGAGAGAGGGTCGGTCAGGTGGACCCTCTGCGATGAACATAGTGATTTTATGTGAAACATATGTGAAGCATATGTGAAACACGTCTTTCACAGGTACGGAATAGTCTTAATGCACATTTTTGTCAGCGCAATGTCAGGAAGAGACGTCTTTCCACCCCTGAAATTATTCTGACATTTCAAGTTCAGGATTATGCAATATCCGTTCCGCTTTCGAACAAGAAAGGGAAAGGAACACGTAGTAGCAAAAAAAAATTCATTTCAAGCTCAATTTTTACTTATTTTGATTAACTTCAACTACACAATGAAAGCTGGAGAGAATGTCCATGCATATAAAAAAAAATTTGGAGGAATGTTGCCTGTTTTTTTAGTTGAATACAAGATGAAGTCCTTCTGAGATGTAAAAGTTTGCATGCAATTTTTCTGCTCTGAAAAGCGCAATCTATGAGCAAATTTCAACTGACCTAAGCATATTCCCATGCGACGAGGATTTCTGCGGACGGGAGAAAGCGTGACCTCCACAGCTGGTCCGGAGCCAAAACGAGGGAGAACTGTCAGGCAGAGAGAAGTTCCCCCCTCGACAACAGCTGATTTCCACGTGCTCGGGAGGCCCTTCGATTGGCTGGGCGGGGAGGGATCTCGGGCGCTGATTGGCTGCCGCGCGGCTCGATATCAGTCGGGCTCCATCGGGCATCCCTGCGCCGCCTCACCTGTGATGCATCGATCCGCCTGGGCTTTTAGCGGTCGCATCCCGTCACAGCTGATGTCTGTGACTGAGAATGATTTATGTGCATGGCTTTCTGGGAAAACTTCCGGCTTCACTTCCGAAGGGTTAACCGTATGAGATACTTTCAGGACCATGATGGAAGATCCGCCTCCCAAGTGGATTAGGGACGATGAGGCAAACGTCCCTCTAGGCGGAAATCCACCTGCTGGAGGGGATTTCCACCTGGTTCCAAAGCCACCCAGGTGAATCTCCTTCCAGGAAGGATTCACCATGTTGAAATGAGAACGAATCGGAATATCACCGGGGAATAACCCGGGAATAGCTAGGTAGAAGCGAATTGGTGACTCGCCCGCGATGTTAGGACGCATTGCTGCCAATCTCGCAAAAGGGGAATACATTTTTTTTCAAGGGCATCTGAGCACGTGGATGGAAACTCTCATTGCCTCTAGTTACTTCAAAGATTAAAAGTTAATCAGTTTGCTTAATCATCCTAAGCTTAAATGACCCTTTACTGCGCTGTCATGCAGAAATTCATTTTTCATTGCCATGGGCTCATCTTCATGGAATTTAAGATTTGTCATGATCTTTTCCACGTTGAGATTGCTTGGCGAGCCGTTTTGCCTAATTGGCCTGAGTTGAAATATCAGGGAATTGATTGATTGATAATCGATTCCTTGCTATCGAAAACGTCAAGGTTCTCATGTCTACATTGTTGCCGATAACTCCAAGTTTTTTATTATTAAAGAAATTTCATTATTAGCCATTTAATGCGTTTTGACGACAAGAGCTCCTTCGAAACAGTCAATTCAGCTTCCTCAGCTTATCCGGGTGTCAATTGATAGAAATCAGGAGTTGATAAGGAGACTGGCTGAAAGCAGCAAGATTAGCTGATTTTTTTTTCTATTTTGTGGTTTGCAAAAATTTTCCTCCTAATTTTGAAGGTGAGAAACCCTGACCGACTTCCAGCAAGTCACATTCATGCCCTTTATTCATAATAAGCAATAAATAAATAAATGTCTCAAAAATAAATTCGGCGATTCACCGAGCCACCCCGCCGGCGCACTTGTCGGCGCCGACGATGGTCGGCGTCGACGTCCCGCAATCGAGTCCGGACGACACCGTCTCGACCCGGACCAAGGTCGGGCTCCTCAGCCGCGGCAGGGCCTGCTCGCAGGACTCCAAGCTCTCGAAGGATCGCAGGAACGCAATGATCTGCCCGGCGATGTACCGCCTGTAGGTGGCCTTGTCGGTTAATGGATTCGTGGAGCAGACCTTGAGCAGCTGTTAATGAAAATTTCATGAGCTTCGTGAACAATTCCTATCGGCAGTAATAACAAATTAGCCATAATGAACAATTGGTCGTAATTACTCATTTGTCGTAATAACCCATTGGCCAGAGTAACCCATTGGCCGTAGAAACCCATTGCCGGAGTAATCCATTGACCAGAGTAACCCATTGGCCGTAGTAATCCATTGCCGGAGTAACCCATTGACCAGAGTAACCCATTGGCCGTTGTAACCCATTGAGCAGTAATGAACAATTAGTCGAAAAAAAAAACATTTACGAATGTCTCACTTGATTGCCTGCGACATAGATAGGGTCCAAGAGGTCGGCGTGCCCGTAGTCCGTGGCACTGATGTACCACCTCGGAACGTCTCGCATGGCGTCGAAAAATCTCTTGTTGCTCAGATTCTCCGGCGCACAGGCGGGGAAGAATGGTATTGCTGAAGTAAAACAGCATTGAATAATTTGAAATTTTTTTGCAATGCAAATAAAAAATGCTCGAGTTTTAATTAGGACGCACTCTGCAACGGATCGAGTCCCGCGGCAAGGGTCAAGCTGGGGATGGAGAAAGGCACTTTCTCATTCGGCGTGATGATGAACTGCTGGATGATCCCGAAAGGATCCTTCCCATCCACGGGACTGATCATGACTAGGGATTTGAAGTTCGCGCAACCCTGGTTGGAGAGGAAGGACACCGCGATGTGACATCCCGCGGACTGGCACGCCAGCGTGGACCGGGCATGGTCCAGGCTCACTTGCAGCGGGAGGTCCTTCCTCAGCCAGTTCTCCAAATTTCTCTCCACCCAGCCGACCACCTGTCAGCGTCGGCAATGACCTGTCTGTTTCAACTCGTCTATTTAATTTTTTTTTTCCTGGGTTCTGAGGACTCACGCCTTCCAGTTCCTTGGCCCTATAGTCGGAGTCGATTATGCCCAGCGGGTTCCAGACTCCGACGACGAGAAATCCATGGCTGGCAACGTGTTTCAAGACCGTGCTGTACAGCGTCGAGGGCACCGTGGCTACCAACAATATGAGGGAAAAAATTAATTCATAATAATAATAATAATACAATCTAGATCATTATGTGAAATGGAAGCAAACATTTGTATTGTCTGCTCCTGGTACTAGTTAACCAGAGCAATGGAAGAACCTAATATAAGAACCTCATTTCGACTGAGTCGAAAAATTATAATTATGATTAAACGAAACATCAACACTTTTAAATTTTGGTAAAAGCATAATGTGTAGCAATATTGGAATTTATTTTTTTCGCACCCTCAATCTCCACCCACTCCCCTCCCCCAACTTAACTTTAATTGCCAACTTCTAATAGAGTAAAGCATGTCAATTTATTTTTCGCTGAAAACTGCGCAAGTCCGATTTTTTACCTTTTTTTTCATTTTCTGAGACGCAACCCGTGACTAAGCCGGCGCCCTTACCTCCAACCTCTTCTGAGTCCTATTCCCCTTTGTACACGGGAAAATTAATTATTTTCACTGTTGTGCGTCTAGAAAATTTACATTTGAAGTAATTTGGGAAAATTAATGGTCATTACATTAAAAATCCTTTCTCATTCAAATTAAACGAGTAATAGCCTCCCCGTTGATGCAAAAAATGACATTGAGTTGATGAGAAGTTATCTTCATTTTCGTCGCGTTGCCACTGAATCCGAGAGAGCTTCGACCGCCATCCTTTCGCACGGGGTCAAGTCATGCGATGGGGAACCCGGGTTCGACCAAATTGGTCGAAAATTTATAATTTTTTTTTTCGCAGGGAAGTAGGGAAGCGATTGGGAGAGGTTCAAGCGGGATGGGGCTGGGATGGGAGGGAGGGGGTCTGGGGCAGAGGGAATTATCGAGTCGCACGGTGATTGTCGTATTGCATGGCAATTAAACTGGTCGGTAGTTACGGGATTGTATTGAGGCATGCCTCTGTACACGGGCGGGGATTAAAAGGGAAAATTATGGGGATCGGTCCATCATAGGAAAGGTCACGAGTTTGCTTGTTTGCTTGCTTATCGCCTTAATCCCAGAAGCGGCAACCGTCGATCAATCGACAGTTGACCCGTCACAGGGTTTAACCTTGCCACTTCGAGGGTTAAAAATGACCTCCCATCCAGATCTTAATGACGAAATGCGTAAAGAACCAGTTTTAATTACGACGGGAACGGTAGTAAAAGCGAAAAGGAGCGAGCGGGGACGGCGTTCCACCAGTTTCTCTGATGCAAAAACGGGTTTCTCGAATTCTAGGGGGAAGGCGAAGGGGGGAGGGGGGAGGGAGGGGGGAGGGGGAGGGGGAAGGTGGGGAAAGAGAGGGAGGGATGATCTTCCTTGAGACACGAAAAGGGAAGAGCTTTCAGGTTTGAAGGTCACGCTTGTCCTCACATAATAACTTTCACTTCCTGCATAGACCGGGACTCGTCATCCCTTCGCTCGTGTCCTTATTCCCTTCAGGGAATTCCCCTCTTCCTGTGCATGGAATTGGGCATTCCCTCGTGGCTTATAGTCCTTATCGCCTTTGGCCCTTATAGACTATGGAAATAGTCGATAAGGAAATAGTCAAATACTCAAGAGATTAAAAAAAAGGCCAATCGATTCCCATAAAAATCTCCATTCATGAAATAATTTATTGATTTATGTGGGTTTCACATGGAACGGGCGTCTACTGATTCTCCCAGCAGTTAATTAATTGCATTTCCAAGAATTTTCCAGTGGCGGAAAGAAAACCCCTCTTTTATGGCTATTTAGCAATATGGCTATTTATGGCTAAATGGCTACGTGGCTATTATGAAACTCCTCACCTTGAAATCCGGGGAGAAAATAGAGAACGGGCAGGGGACTCTCCGTCCGAGGCACGTACAGGTCCAGGTTGTACTTCAACCCGGTGAGAATGGTGAGGAAGTTGAAGGCCTTGAACACCCACACGGGATTCGCCGGATCCGGCTCATACGGATCCTGGAAGGCCGAGGTACCCGGCGCGAACGCCAGGACGGCGAGCCACATCCACGCGGCCGGGATCTCCATCAACGCTGATATGCCCAGGATGCGAGGAGGAGGAGGACGCCTGAGGAGGAGGACGCCTGAGGAGGAGGACGCGCGTGGAGGAGGTCGCTCGTGGAGGAGGTCGAGGCGAACGAGGAAGCCAGCGGCGGTGTGCAGCCGTGCGTTGGATGACGCTGCGCTCGCTATGGAGGTCAAGGGCATGGCAGGATGCTGCATCCTCGCAGACGCGGTGATCTCAATATTTGGAATTATGAAACCGTTACCGTTATTGGTTTGTCACCGTTAGGAACCACTCTTGAAGTGAAGGTCACGGCGATCGCTCAATGCTTGCATCTGCCGCGCCTCCGAGATAAACGATGAGAAATTCCCCGCCTCGTGGACATGCTTGGACGATTGCCGGACAATTGCATTCTCATTCCATCCTTCCGATTGCCGGTCGTGCAATTCAGCATCTGCGAGAAAAATGCGCGTCCTTGTCGAGCGAGATTAAGTGGACGATGCGATTCGCTGCCGAGGCCGGGGACGCAGTAGGCGGGGGACTATTTCATGCGATGAAACATAATAATTTTTGCATGAAGGAAGCACGAGTCCGGGCACGAAAAACTATTGTCTATTGCCAATTTTTGAAGAAATTGATGAAATTGATGAAATTAATGAAATTGATGAAATTGATGAAATTGATGAAATTGATGAAATTGATGAAATTAATGAAATTGATGAAATTGATGAAATTAATGAAATTAATGAAATTAATGAAATTAATGAAATTAATGAAATTAATGAAATTAATGAAATAAGGACAACCAAGTTTTCCTCTTCAGACACATTCTTCAAGCGGCAGAAATTGCAAAATGTGGGCGTTCCAATTCATTTCGCCTTGTCCGGACATGTGGCGACGAGTTTTAAATAGCAGCAAATCAATGAAAATGAATGGGAATGAATGATCATAGGAAAAGACCAGCGGAACATCTCCAATGGCTTTTCGTGGATTCTTCATCATGAGGGAAACCATCGTGAATGAAATGCGTGTGTTTCATGGACCATTTTCGGAATGGAGAAGGGAAGCATAATGTTATCTTGATAAGCTTTGCAAGCGTCAGCAAGCTAGATGAAATTAAGGAAAAATGCGAAAAATTCTTCATTTGCATTCAGGATTCTAATTTGCCCCTCTGCCCCCTTTCCCCCCTGCCCCCCAGTAAAATGAGTCCCTGAGACCCGATCCCAGGCGCTTCGCGTGTCCGCCGTTTAATCCGACACCATCCCATTCGCGACGGATCGTTTCCCCTTCGCCCACCGGACCCGCGAGTCTCAGCGCCCACTCCCGCACCGGATGCCAGGATGAAGACCCGCGCGTTTTTGCTCTTCTTGCAGGTTTTTGCACCGACTTTGAGGCCTTCGACCGGTTTCGCACAACCCCAGTGCAACATCCTCTGGGCGCCCACCGCCATCTACGACGACGGTGAGTCCCCGTTACTCATCCCCGTCAACGTTACTCATCCACATCGACTTTTCTCATCGCTACGCAGCGCGCACGTAACATTAAATTTGTTTGCAAATAAAAATTTGCAGAAGACTGCGGAGAACGGAGCCCCCTGCAAGCCCGGATCATCAACGGCTCGGACGTAAGCCACATCACCCAGGCGCCCTGGCTCGCATCCATCCTGACCAAGAAGAACGGCACCAGCCACCTCTGCACCGGCGCGATCGTCCATCCGCGCTTCGTCCTCACCGCCGCGCACTGCACCTACCCGCGGTGGGTCCGCGTCGGCGAAGGGTGATGAAGGATAAAAAGTGGACACGCGATTAAAATTTTTATTTCATCATTTACATTTTTTATTTACATTTTTTCATTTTTATATTTTTTCATTTATATATATATATTTTTTTTTCATTTACAATTTTTTCCATGCATAATGTTTTTCATCTTTTATAATTTACAAAACGCTGACTAAATATTTGAAAAAATGCAAACCAGAAAAAGTTTCAAAAATTCATGCTTTCAATTTACTACTATTTATTATTTAAAAAAAGTTTAACTTTCATCATTCTAAATTTCATGATTTCATCATATACAAGCATACATTTGGAATTCTATGAATTTTTATTGCGAGGAAAGCTTTATGCCGTTCGAAAGGACGGCACAACGGGGAATTAAACCAATGGCCTCCGAAATTTTAATTAATATCTTTCATTTACTCATTTGCCCAATTTATTTCCATTTACCCAATTAATGCCTTTCATTCGTACCGAATTAATAACTTGCATTTTGTTGTACTCATGAATTATTTTTAACGGTATCATCCCATCCCGCAACGTTGGGACGACGAATCACTCAGTTTTCTCATTAATATCTCATTAATCCCCCGTTGCGCGAACGCCTGAAACGGATTGGAGTCGACTAATCCTCTGAGATCGGAAAGATTTGCGAAGGATTAGCGAGAGAATCGACGCAAATCCGGCTTGATCGCGAGAACGTGACTTTTTCCAAATTTTCTTTCCCTGCGGTTTAAGCCTTTTCCTTCGCTCTTTCTCACGCGCTCGTTGCCCTGAGAGGACAGAGCAATGGATGCTTTTATATATTTAAATACACATTTAAATAATTTATAATTTGGTCGTGATGAATTATCGCTCGGCATTTCCGACGCATAGGTGCGGAAATCAAATTCCTATTCTTCTTCTTCTTCTTGGCAAAATTGCGTGAGGGTTCGCCATTCCGGTGCCAATTCGAAATCGCCATTCCCATGGATTTCGCTAAAAGACAAAGTAAAAACCTAGGAAACGGTTTTCCACGCTCCTGCATCAACCCTCGCCTTTTGTTTCATTTCAGTTTGATGAATCTGAAATTGTGAATTCAATTCAGATGATAAAATCATCCGATGCAAAATTAAGAATTTCCCATCTATTAATATTTGCAAAAAAAAAAATTAAATTATCTCGTGGTTGAATCGCCACGCCGGAATGCGCTAGATAATTAAATTAAATTAAATTACACCGTCGTTCCAGTTTCGAGTTCACGGAAACGCGCCCGAACGTCTCCGTTTTCGTCGGCAGCCTCCGGTTCCGGCGAGGAATCATGCGGACGGTCCAGGCCATCTACAATTGGGATATCAAGGGTGAGTCGATGAGTCGATGAATCGATGAGGATGTGATAAAAATGAGTATGCGGAATATAATTAGGGCAATCCATGGAATGCAAATGCGCGATGATAGTAATGATGATACACAATATAATAATAGTGAAGAAAATAATTATTTGTAATAATCATACTAATACGTGGTAATTCATGATAATATGCCATCATCGCAATAACACAATAGCTGTACTTCACATAATACTATTTTTCTCATGCAGGCAAAACAAAGAAGCAAAAAAGCATCGCAGTTCTCGAAAGCAAACGGATTTTCTCAATTAAATGGAAAAGGACGAATCGCTCTTATTGCAATCGGATGGCAAGTTTAAAGGGATCGGCATTTAACTCTTTCATGCCAGAAGATTCCATTTGGCTTTTTTTTTTTAAAGTGTGGTCGGATATCGCGAGTCTCCCAGTTCCCACGGTTAATGGTTTCCGCGTCCCACTGTCTCGAGCCGGCAGTCGGTCAGAGCGGTTCGACCCAGCGGTGGATCAGCGGCAGCGGTTAGCGTTTGACTCCGCGAGTCCGGATTAATCGAGGAGTTAATTGAGTTAATTGAGTTAATTGCCGGGGGGCGAAGACGCTTCGGAGGGATCCTCAGGGAGCATCCGTCGAACTTTTCAATTGTCAATTTAGTCAATGGGGCCAAGTCAATGGGGCCAAGTCAATGGGGCCAAGGGGAAACAAGGCGCAGTTTCCTCACAGAATGCACGCCAACGATCTGATTCTAATTGGCGTGTTTCTTTTTCGAGCCTGATGGAAAAAGCGAACGGAAAAAGGGAAAGAAACAAAACACTTGCCATTAGCGACAGCATCGTTTTCTCCTCATGGCTCGCGATAAAAATAATGGTAAGGAAAATCCATCGAGAAAAACATCGAGAAAAAACTTTCCTTTTTGCAATCATCTTGCTCCATTTCTTTCGCGGAAAACGCGAGTGCAAAATGCCTTCATTCACGCACTCGGAGCCTTCCTTTGCGAAACTTCCACCTGCATCTGCCTGGGTGAACGACCGGGTGGATAGGAGGTGAATTTGGAATCAGGTGGATGTCCCACTCAGTGGAAATCCACCCGGTCATTCGCCCCACGTGTTCCTCTCCCAGGCGGATTTCTGACGAGGTGGACAGCGCTCCAACGGATGGAAATGTTTCAGGGACATTCACTTGGTTCCAAATCCACCTGATTCCAAATCCACCTGGCAGGAGGATTTTTTTTTTTAAAGGATGTTTGGATTCCGACAGCACATGACATCGTCCTGTTGAAACTGAACGAGTCCCTGCCAGTCGACAGAGAGCCCTGGCATCACCTGTGCATCGCCGAGCACGAGGACATCGGCATCGCCAAGCACTGCAAGGCCCGGTTGTTCGGCTGGGGCGACACCGACCCAGAAAACAACACGGGCATCCCTCCGCTGCAGAAGCTGGACGTCAAAATCCTGGAGGTCGGGAGTCGCCAGTGCCACCCGCGATCGACGGATGAGAGCATCGTCTGCGCCCAGGGGAAGCGACGGCTGGCCAGAGCCTGTCGGGTGGGGAAAGGATTTTCATGCATTTTCTCAGCTGGTTCTTTCTGCTAGGCTTTGCGTTATCTTAAAAAGCATCCAACTGCGTCCACCTCCCATGTGGATTTGGAACCAGGTGGATGTCCCACCTGAATGGCAAACCCGTCGATTCCCGCCTGGTGGGGCATCCACCTGGTTCCAAATCCATATGGGAGGTGGACGCTTTGTGAGGGTTTTACTGAACCGAAGAATGCATTTCAGAGGTTAAGAACGGCTTTTCTTGATCCCCATGATTTTTTGCGCATTTACAGCATATTGTTCCATACGATTGCTTTATTTTAAAAAGTCATTATTGCGAGACAAGGAAACGGACAACTTCAAATTCCAGGATTTCGGGTTTAAATGCCAACTCGCAGGAGCCGTTTTCGGATTTTCTGCTATTTTTGAAGGAAAAAATGTGCGCCGTGTATGAGTAAATTTGTAAGTAATACCATTGTGTTAAAATCACAGACTCTGCGTCTGGTACTTATAATAAAACATTTGCTTATTTCTTCGTTTTCTTCACTTGCA